TCTCTTCTACATGACAGGAGTGGAAAGGAAGATAGAAGGTTTCATAAAACTTCTGAGATAAAGAGGAAAATGTGTTACCCATTATACATAGAGTAGAATGGTTAAAAACAAAGACAAAACTAAAATAACCTTCCTTCCTTCCTTCCTTCCTTCCTTCCTTCCTTCCTTCCTTCCTTCCTTCCTTCCTTCCTTCCTTCCTCCCTTCCTCCCTTCCTCCCTTCCTCCCTTCCTCCCTTCCTCCCTTCCTCCCTTCCTCCCTTCTTTCTCACCCTTCCTTCCTTCTCACCTTTCCTTCTCACCCTTCCTCTCAGGCTCAACATCACTTCTTTACTCATTTTCTCCACTATCTCTTCTATCTGTGCACAGAAGGGGAATGTCAGGATACAGCTTCTCCCTGCTTCTCTTTCCTCCTCGTGCTGTTCCGCTGTATCAGAGTGAGGGGTGTCACTCCCATGGGATACAATCCTTCACAAACTGCTCAAGCATGGCTTCTTCTTGCAGGCCACAGTTCTTCAAGGACTGGTTGAGGATGGGAGCTTTCCATGCGGTGAGGCTTTTAAGAGAGACTGTTCCAGAATGGGTCCCCTAGGTGTAGGAGTGTAGGAGAGTGCCCCCTAATGACAGAGTGGCAAAGCTAGCCTTTGTCCCCCAAAAAAAGGAAAGAAGCCCAGAAGTTTCTCTCAATGATTAGGTGAAAGGCCCCCTCATAGGACCCCAGAGGCTTCACTAAAACTCGGGGTCACCTAATTGGATAGAAGCCAAAAAGTTTCGCCTGGTCCATCAGGTAGAAAAGGGGAGGACAAAAGAACTAAGAGGCTTTTGTGAAGGTGTTTATACCAGGCGCAGACCGCTGTACCTGGCTCAGATTTTCTGTTTGTTATTTTGCCTTTTCTTAAACCTTTTTGTTTCTAACACTGCAGCAGAAGCCATCCTGCTCATTATTTGCCTCCAAAGGTAATAGCTAAGCTATCCTTGGGTGTGCTAGGTTCCCTTTTGAGGGCTCATAACACTTGGCCCGAGAAAAAAGAACCTAGCACCTAGGGTCTGAGATTCCTGCCAGGAGCCTGCTCCTGCATGTGCTCTCACAGGCTGCGCTTTCCTTCAGAGCACAGGGTTCAGCAGAGGCTCATGCCTGGGAAGTAAGATGGCCATTTGCTCCACCACGGACCTCCACAGGCTGCATGGGCACAGCTCCCTCACCTTGCTCTGCACCATGGACTGCAGGGGAATCCATGCTCTGGCTCCCAGAGAACCTCCTCCCCTTCCTGCTTCAATGACCTTGGTGTCCGCAGGGTTGGTTCCCTCACATTGGCTCAACTTTGGCCAGAGAGTTTCCTTTGGAGCCACTTGGAGCTGCTTGTGTCTAGGGGAGTTCCTAAGCTCTTCTCACAAAGCCCATGGATATACGGATTTTTTTGCTAACAACATGATAACATTATCATATTCCAGATAGAAATCAAACTTAAAATAAAAATAATTTCATGCATCCACAAGTTGCACAGTTCAATATTCCAGTCCACTGCAAAACATATTCCATTAATTTAATATTTCATAGCCAGCTATTTACCATAATCATTAGAGATAATACAAAAGAATAGTGAATATTCCTCAAAATTAATTTTAAAGTTTGTTTCAAGGTCATATTCACAGATGAAAAAGAAAATATTTTTCCATAAACATCATGTTTTTGGTATTGATTTATACCATCAACAAAGTGAGTTTTTTCATGCTATCCCTTCCTAGATGAACCAGTTAGATCCATTTAATATTTATTACCAAGATATCAGTCAAATAATATATCCATTAATTTAAATGGTATTTTCCATTTCAAGAAGTACAATCAATAAAACTGCACAGCAACAATGTCTGATCCCAATTGTTTCATCAATTCTGCTCATCTTGTACCACAGAACTTAACCTTTTAAAACTGCATGGGGAAACATTTTAAACCAACATACTGCCAGCTAAAAATAATATTAAGGACTCACACTTTTTGAAAGACATAATTAATATTACATTTTCTATTCAGAACTTCAGTCTATGTGGCTTATTACTATGAATGGCAAGAGATTGCACAAATTCTGTATCCTATGGAGGTATGCATACATATTAAAGAGGAAGATAGCTGTCAGCATGAAACGTAAGGATTTAATTTTTGTGTATTGCTACCATGTTTTTAATACTACTAAAATCATTACTAAATAAAAAATGTTGCCATTGTTTGCTTGTGTCCTCACAAGTGCAAATCAGCCTTATATCAATTAATAACACTGAATATTGTTTCAAACTACTACAATGGATTATGCAAATAATCTCTGAAATAGGAGTTTTGGAAAAAAAAAGTAGGACACTAGGCAACTGTGTTTTGCTTCGGCATTCATTCTACAAAAATTAGATGCATGTCTTGTGTCTACTTGTTAAATAAAGCCATAATCATACACATAAAGATGCACAAAGACCTTTAAATCGTTGTAGTTTCAATTTTTGCTGACCTAGACATCTAACGAACACCCACATTACAGCAGTCATTCTTTTATACTACTCCAACCCTGCTTATAATGTTATTTTATTTGAACTTGAAGCTACCATCCCAGAAATAAAAGGGTCTTGAACCAGAAGTAAAAGCAATTGTTTTCAGGTTATTTATGGTATTAGAAAAAATCAGAAACAGTCTCAGAATTTAGCAAGGTTCAACAGTGACATTAGGATGTGTCTACAAAGAAGAAGACAGGTTCCATCTAAATTGAGTTAGGCTGGAATCCTTGAAAAAGGGACTCTCTTAACACCTGTTTTGCATTTAACAGCAGCAGCAAGGTTAATTTTCTCATTAAGGGTTTGCCACAGCACTTTAATCCTCTTGCTCTTTAATTTTACTCATGTTGTCAATGGGTGTTTGGTGTCACAGAAGAGCGTTTTTGGTGGTACCACTCGCTCTCTGCAGCCAGAGGCCAGGAGCCGTGGACACAGTGAGAGGAATGCTTAGGATACTATGGCAAGGAGAGGTGGCTGGAGGTGCTGCTGAAGACTGCAAGAGACCTCAGCCTTGGCAATGATGCAGGGCATGGCTCCCAGCCTAAATGGAGAAACACATCACGTGCTCAATTCACAGCTCTGGTGGGAAAATGCTCCCATCAAGGTCTTGCTGTCCCCTCTGAGGCTGGGGCAGGCAGACGCCATATCCTTGCCTGTAGGTGGGATCAAGAGGTTCTGTCATTAAGCTGAAAGAAGGGACCAACAAGAACTTTGTGAAATTTAGCAGAGACGAAGTCCTACACCTGTGAAAGAAGAGTGCCTTGCAATGACATGGTGATGATTGTTTTCCAAAGCAGCTGTTGCTTAGAGATTGGCTGGGTAATCAATCTGCTTGTGGTGTTGATCACTTCTTCATCACTTATTTTTCTTTTTTCCCCCTTCCCAGTTATTAATCAGTCTTTATCTCAATCCACAAGTTTTTTTTTTCTCAATTTTGCCCCTATAATTCTGTCCCCCAAGCCACTGCTGGGGAGTGAATGAGGCTGGGTGGGAGCTTATCTGCCAGCTGTGGTCAAGCCATCACAAACACACTGCCCAGAGTAGGTCACGCAGACCTGGATGTTTTTGAGACCTCACTAGACAAAACCTTGAATAACTCAGTCTGACTTGGGAGCTGGTCTTGATTTGAGCAGAAGGTAGGACTGGAGATCTCACGAGGTCCATTCCAGTCTGACTCATCCTGTGATTCCATGTTTTGCAGTTAATATAAATCCAATATAGGGGTGCTTTACTAACGGAGAGAGCTGATCACACATATCTAATAGTCTATGCAACTTACTGTTTTTTAAAAGAAAACCAAACACATAAACAAGCCAGCACAGACATATAAGTAAAAAATATTTGAAATATAGCAATATGCCTAAGCAGATGAACCTCTTTCTGGCCATATCTCCAACCTCAGGCTACTTGTGTTACAAATAAATCAAGAAAATACTTAATGTGATATGGTATGATGTGATATGTATAGGTTATCATAAAATAAATAGTAGTAAAGAAAAGTTAAAACCTGTTGCATGTTATGTGAAATATGTTAGAAAGGTGGGCTTATATGTATGAGCTTCCATTTGCTATTTCTCAGTCATGATGGAAACAGAAAAATCATATGATTAAATTTAGCAGCAGACATCAAGTATAAAACCTCTCTCTCAGTCTTTCCCAAGAGAAATTACCTAGTTACTAAACCCTAAATCTAGTTACTTAGAATGTCATTATTCAACAGCAAATGCACATAAATTAGATTAAATTATTTGTTATTTGGGAAAAAAAAAAGTTACTGTTTCTCATTACACAACTCATAGCACCAGGTATGTACATTTAGAGATTGATTGGTGGGTTTGGGGGCTTTTTGCTTTCTCTTTTTCAAACTTTCAGTGTCTCAATGAAAGTGGCAGCCTTCTGGCTCAGCTATGGGTCTTTGAACAAATTGTCATTTTCAGCAGGACAATAAATGAACAGGTCTTCAGAGGCACAAAAAAAAAAAATAAGGACTAGGCACTTCTTTCAGTTCTCCCTCTCCTAAGAAGAGATTTGATGTTCAACAAGACAGGGAAATTATTTGTCTCACAGTTATTTTTCTGCTTTGACCTTCATCAGGACTCTGTATCTTGCAAAGCTTACTTAATCTCTTCTGTTCCTCCCAGTTTTCACTTTTGTTTCCTAGTCTTGTTATACTTGTCATTTCTCCCTGCACCTCTTAAAAATGAACAGAAAATATTTTCTATTTCTGTGCCCTACAGAAACTCTAAGCCACTGAGGTCCAATTGCTCAAGTCTGGGATGCAGTAAAGGCTGCTTTGTCTTGTATAATATTTCCTTTATGGACACTTACTGGCATTTTGAAATAGTAATTTTGGGTATGAATGCTCCCCAAATAATCCAACTAAATAATACTACTAAACTAAGTAAAAATAAGTTTCTTTTTAAGCAAAAGCCTTCTTCGTGCATTTTAATGATCACAACTGAATTTAGTTAGTGTTGCTTTATTTTTTGTTTCATCTCCAGAAGTTCCTGAATTTCTTTTACCTGCATTTTGAGTTTTCTGGTCTCTTCTTCCAAACTTTGTTTTTCTGCTTCTAGTCGCTCTCTCTTTCCCCATTCAGAGGCATTCTCACACCGCATTCTTTCCATCTGGGATGGTTGAGGGTAAGAGGAAGAATAACCAAAAAAGAAAGAAAAAGAAAGACAAATAATCTGATTAAAACACCCTGGTTTTCACTGGGTGAGGCTAATGGCTTCATCTCAGAGTAAGGTCGGCACCTTAGAAATCAGCCCAAGGTGTAAGCTTTCCATGTGTCATAAAGTTAAATATTTTAATTTGAAAATAACAAAACCAGTCAATTTTTCATAAAATGGACCTGCAAAAAAGTAAAGAATAGATAATTTTTATACAGTAACTGCAACAAAATCCTATTATTTTCCTGCTATTTCTAGAAAAATAGTATTAAAATAATAATAAAATGTTTTAAATAAAACTGAGACTGATTTTGCCTTGACAATGTCAAAGTTCACCTTTTGTTCTCCAAAAGACAAAAATCAGCATGTTTTTATTCTGTTTAAAACTAGTAGGATTGTAATAAATGTTTATTAAATTGAAGAAGTTCTAAAGTATACCTTCTGTACTACATAGTTATAATCAGAGGAAAGATTTTTAATTTTTCATGGTAATCTCTTTCTTGTGGTCATGATTAATAGTCTTAAGCAAAATAATATCTTTTATAGCCAATGCTGTAACCTTAGTTTAGGATAATTTTATGAGTTTGTTAATCAAATCCTCATATAGGACAAATTAAATATATCAACAAAAAGACACATTACTAAGTCACATAGAGTAATTATCAAAGAACTGATTTATTCTTCAGAGACAACTAGATAGAGGTTTTTGTCAAGACTGCATGAAATACTTCTCAGACTTCAAATGAAAAAATTGTAAATTGAATTTTTGTTTATAACACAAACCAGGTACTTATCAGGTAGTAATGGAAATTTATCAGAAGATTATTATCGGCAAGTACTTACTGTTAACAAGTTATTATTAACTGTTCTTAACAGGAGATTAAAAGAGATTAACATAGATTAAAAACTGTAAAAATAAAAGGCTCCAGTTCTTTTAATTGAGGTGAAAAAAAAGAAAATAATTGCTAATATGTTTTTAAAGGTTAAAATATTAAGATCTTTTTACAAATTTCAGTTCTGTGAGAACTAAAATAGATGGTTTGATAAAAATGGTGACTGAAAACATTGTAAGATACTTCTTCATTGAAGAAACAGGATATCTGTGCCACCAAGGCTTTAGAAAGAGCCATAGAGGTGCTCTTTTTCAGTTCTATTGGTTATTTTTATTCTAAAATCAATTTTTGGCAAATAATGAAAAGGTTCTGAATACAGAGCAAAGAGAACGATCTGTTACAGCATAAAAGAAACATTTTTGATCCTGTGAATAGTAACGTCATTCTCTAGCTAAATCAAATTGCAAACTTGTCGGTTCCCACCTTATTTCTGAGTTAATAGAAACAACTAGAAACCGAATAAAGTTAAAGAAGCTCATTCAGATTATGAGAGGACTGCAAAAGTGATTGTTCCACTCTGCTCTGTGTTGGTGTTGCCTCACCTCGAGCACTGTCTGCAGTTTTGGGCACAGGTCAAAGTATTAGAGTGGATCCGGAGTGATAGACTATAAGTTGCTAACCCCAATGCACAAGTAAATGTTTGATGCTCCCATGTTCCCAGTGAGGTCTTGAAAATCTATCCACTGAATTTCTGTACAATAGTTGGAAATTAAGGAATCACATGCCCCTATTTAGCAGCAAATATTATTTCTTTCCCACCAAATTTATGCAAGTTGTTTGAATACTTTCTACTGGACTAAAATCACAAGCCCCATATTTTTTCCTAAATAAATGTGCGGGCATATTTATTATTACAAGTATCCATGAAAGTTCCAGAACATGAGAAACCCGGTCTTCTTGCAAAGCACCTGACAAAATACACAGCTGAAATTCTAAGCCTGAAAGTTCACCTTTTCACAGTGTTGACACTAATCAATAAAAATTCATTTTGTCAGACATCAAATCCAGAGAAATGACAAAACCATCCAAGGTTGAATTTCAGTCAAGAAATTAAGCAGAATATGACTATCACATGAAGATCTGATGTCAAAGATAAATTTATTTACCTACGTCTGTAAAATTTCAATTCATTGCAGCCAAGATGCAACTATGATAAATTTACATATTTAACGGTCCTGATCTCAGCTGGGATAGGAGTTCATTTTCTTCCTACTAGATGGTACAGTACTATGTTCTGAATTTAGTATGAGAATATTCTTGATAACAAAGGGAAATTTTCATTGTTACTGAGCAATGCTTACACTAAGTCAAGGCGTTTTCAGCTTCTCATACTGCCCTGTGAGCAAGGAGGCTCAGCCTGCACAAGAATCGGGTAGTGGACAGCTAACCCAAAGCAGCCACAGGGATATTCCATTCTATACAATGCTCTTGTGTGAAATGCCACAATTCTGATTTATGAAGAAAAGTGAAAGCTTAAGAAAAAATTTGCGACATAAAAAAATCTTGAGGTCTTTCATTTTCCTTTAAAATGTGAATGTTTCCCCTCCATAAAATATCTGTGCAGACTTGCACTGAATTTTACTTTTCAATAGGAAGACAAGAATAATGGTGGAAGCATAGAATGAGGTCAAGGTAGTGTCAATGAACTGGATAATTGCAAAGGTGAATGGGGGAAATGAAGTACAGTGTACTGACCTTTTGAAACTGGATAATTACATCTTAGAGCTAACCTACACCACTTTATGAATAACATGAAAGGCAGAACCCTGAAAAAAAAACAGACACAGAAAAAGCAACTCCACCTTGTACAGTTCATTAGCAGGAAAATCTTAATGCTCTTGTTTAGTTTAAGGCAATATAACAGTGGTTTAGGTTCCAAAAGTTTTATTGAAACAAGATTTTTCTCCTTCCCCTTAGTTAAGAAAAGATACAGCAGGATGAAGGGCAACAATTAAGGTGCAATGAATGCAAAAAGAAAGATGATGAAGATGAAATATGGCAGTCAACATGATTTTAGGCAGTAAACAGAAGAAATTCCATGCACCCTTCAGCTTTTGTTTTTTTAAATGCAAAGATTTGTTAGCTTTCTATAAAACTATAAAACTTGGAAAGTGTATTTAGAGACCTATGATCTTCATCTTTTTAAAAGAAGTTTTTAAGATAAAGTTGGACAGAACACAAGCATTATGTCAAAAAAGCCCTGTAGTTTTGATCTGATCTGACTTGATGTCAGAAATAAAAAACTGCCAAGCCAACCAGAAATTCTCCCTGTAAAATTTTTCTTGTACAAAACTGTCATTTTCTTTACCAAAAGCATGTTCTGTGAAAGATTATCTGCATATCTCAAATAAAAGCTGATTTGACAGAGAATAGAAGAGTTTTATTTAGGTTTGTTTTTTTTTTCATTTCCAATCGGAATCTTACACAATCAGAGCAAATCATTAGTTTATAATACTATCTGTCTTTATACTCAGAACCTACAGGGAATCTGAATGAGGCATACAAACTTGTGACCCAGAGAGGGAAGAATTCCTGTTTGATATAGTGACCTCGGGTAGCCTCACTCAAGTACAAATGTAAAACATTTTTTTTTCCTTTAAAATGACAATGCAGGGCTTTTTTTTATGTTGCAAAGCAAGATAAATGGTGCTTCAGTTTGTGCAGATCAAAAATTAAAATTTAAAATCAATATGCTATTTTTTTTCCCTTAAAATGACAATGCAGGGCTTTTTTTTATGTTGCAAAGCAAGATAAATGAACACATCTTTTCTGGATTCTTGATTCCACATTGTATTGTGCATAGAGGTAATTTCCACTCATCCATGCCACAAATTATTCTACAGAATTTAAGCAAGAGGTATATTACACTGAAAATTTAATAAGCCACGGGTTGATTATGAATTAAGGACCATGACACCCTCCTAATAAAGAAAACCCATTGAAATAACCATAAATCTTTATAAAGTCACAAGTGAATTTCATTCTTACTAATTTCTTCCCCATAGTTAGTCAGAAAACTCAGCACAAGAAGAAAATTTTTCCTTTCTGTAACTCAGACAGGAATATTGTCTCTCAAAAAAGGTCATATCCATGTCTTTTCAGAGCCAAGAACTCAAAAACTGTGAATTTTTACTGATCATTTTTAAAATTATTGCACATTCATAAGAAATGCAAGGAAGAGAATGTGCCCTTTTACAGTGGTATTTTATGAGATGCCATCAACTTCCAAAGTATGGAATGTGCTTCAGCTGCTAGAAGGAATAGCAAACATGCAGCTTCCTTAAATAAGATATTGAGATAGATTGGATCCAATGAACTGAAAGGCACCTCTGCCTAAAGATCAAGCAAAAGCTCCACATTCCTGCACTGAATTCACTGTGAAACATCGATTACAATTCCTGACATAGTTGCACAGGGTCTGAAGACATTTTTATCAGTGGTTTAAAAGTAATGGTATCAAATGCTTAAACAGAGTCTCTCAGCATAATTGGGAGAAAAAACTTCTTGGTTGTAGGATCAGGAAAAAACTCATACAGCCGGCAGCATCTTCAAAGAGATACACAAGAGAAGAAAACAGTTACATTGATGAATCTGGTTCTCTTAAATCACTTCCAGTTTTAGTTCAGCTGTATCTGTAGAACCTGGAAGATACACCATGGTTCCACTCCACTGCTCACTTCCCTTTGAGAAAGGTGTGGGAGAAAGATGCATTTCACATAGCAAGACAATCACGTGCAGCTGGATAGAAAACAGTTCCAAGAATCTTTGTTACTTGCAAAACAACTCCTATTTTGTTGGGGTATAGGGGAGGGAGTCTGTTTTTTTTTGTTGTTGTTGTTGTTGGTTTTTTTTGTTTGTTTTTTTAAAAATTATTTTCTATTTTATTGGGATTTTTTTTTTAATTTTGAGATTTCTATGGCTAGAAATCTGTAAGAACGTGAGAAAAACTGCCAAAGCCCCTAAGGTCTTAAACAAAACTCATCAACTTTCCTGCTTCCAGGATCAGGGCTGCTGCATGCAGGTGTGGTGTTTGCTGGAAAGCAAAATTCTTACTCGGCATGT